TGATATAGCCTGGTGTGCACCCCCTCTTTCAGCCCATAACATTCGCACTATGTTTGCTTCACTTAATCATTAAGCATAAAATCATTATAACTAACTTTCAATTCCTTCTTTACACTTGTTTATTTCTACTAAAACATCGGATAATGTCTTTCGAAGCCTTTGCACTGTAAACCATTATACTCAGAAGCACAGAAAGATAGAGAGAATATAGTCAATCGTAGAGAGAGAGAGAGAATAGGGAAAAAGAGAACTTAATATTTGTTTCTTAATGAGGAAGTTACTAATAGTGCCTTTATAACGAGATTACTCACTGTTAACAGATTTCCTAACAAATCACCTAATCTTATTACAAGTGGCAAGATCTCATTTACACAATATTATACTCCTTACATCCCCCCTCAATCTCTTGTTTGGAGAAATCAAGCACAGGATTGGATCATTGAATCTTAAACAAGCGAGCATTTAAGCCCCTTGTAAGTATATCAGCAAATTGTTCTCTCGATGAAACAAACTGCACAAAAAGCTTTTTCTTGGTAACTCTCTCTCGAACAAATTGCACATCTATTTTAATGTGTTTTGTACATTGATGTTGCATTGGATTAAATGACAAAACTCTTGATGAGAGAATGTCACAAAATAATATAAGTGGTCAACCAACATCAATATGCAGAAAACTCAATAATTGTTGGATGCAGTCCAATTTAGCCTCAGTTGAGGGCCTAGAGACATTTTGCTGCTTTTTAGAAGACCAAGATATGGAAATTAAACCCCAAAATACAAACAAACCAATTGTGGATCTTCTAGTCATTGGGAGCCCAATCCAATAAGCATCACTGAATGCTTTGAGCCCTAACTGTCCTCTGTAATATGACATACCAAGATGCACAGTGCCTTTCAAATATTTCAAAATCCATTTTACTGCAGCAAAATGGAAAACCATTGGTGTTTGCATAAATCGACACACATGATGAACAAAAAATGATATACCTGGCCTAGTGAAGGTGAGATACAGCAGAGTTTGTACTACACTTCTATATAAACTTGGATTGTTGTAAGGTTTTCCGTCATCCTTCAAGAGCCTATTGTAAGGTAAACATGGAGTTTAATAGGGCTTTGAATCACTCCTCTTAGTTTTCTACAACAATTCCTGGATATACTTGGTTTGTAATAAGAAAACCCTATTTACATTCTTGGTAATTTGAATTCCCAAAAAGAAATGTAAAAGACCTAATATCAAACTCATTAGTGAGAGCATTTAACCTGTCTAATAACCTCAAAACTACTGCTTTTTAATAATAATATCATCTACATAGAGCAACAAAATCACAACAGAGGAACCAACTTTCTTGACAAACAAGGAAGAATCTGAATAAGATTAATGAAGGTAGAAAGGCAATGAATCTCTCATTCAAAGCCCTAGGGGCTTGCTTTAACCCATAGAGTGATTTATTTATCTTACACACCAATGCAGGATAACCTAGGATCCATAAACTCTGGTGGTTGAGTATATACTTCTCCTTAGAGAACATTATGCAAAAATAACATTTTTCACATCAAGTTGCCTCAAAGGCCAATCCAATTTTGTTGCCAAGCCATAACTAATTTCATTGTGGTTGGCTTCACTACAGGACTAAAAAGTTTCCCCATAGTCTGATCCAGGTTCTTGGCTAAACCTCTTTGCAACTAGCCTACCTTTGTGTCTAGTTGTATCCCACTAAATTCTTATTAGATGGTAAAGGCACCAAATTCCATGTACCTTGTTTATACAAGGCATCCAATTCCTCCTTCATTGCATTTAACCAAACTGGATCTTTGATTGCAGATTTATACGTAGCTGGTTCAGTTAAAGAAAGATCAATACCCCCAGATTCTTAGTCAATAATGCCTTTGTACAATTATAGGGCCCACTTCTATGAGATTGTGTCATTAAATGTGTGAATTTTTTTTGTGTTCAAATAGTTTTATTGTTATATCATTGAGCTAATCTCTATATTTCACATACACATAAACAAAACATGCATACATATAGCTGCATTAAATTTACATCTTATGCAAACAAGTAGTACAAGGGGGATTATAAAGAAAAGGCTTTTTAGCCAAAATGGTCACTGAGATTTGTATAACTCCTCATTTAGGTCCCTGAGATTTGAAATCAATACAAGTGGCCCCTGAGATTATCCACCATCAATCATTTTGGTCCTTCTGTGAATAGTTATGTTAAACAAAGACTAAAATGACAAAACTACTCTCAATTTATTAAGCAATAGGTCATAATTTGACAAAAATTGAGGGTATTTTTGTCATTTTATCCTTATTTAATGGAGATTTTTTTACGGAATGACCAAAATGATTGATGGTGAACAAACTCGTGGACCAATTCTATCGATTTCAAATCTCAGGAACCAAAATGAGGAGTTATGCAAATCTCATGAATCATTTTGGATAAAAATAAATAAATAAATAAATAAATAAATAAACCTTATTGTACATGTATTAAAGAATATGTTAACAAATGTATCAATTTTGTGTGGCTGAATAATATCACCCATTGTTATCAGAGTATTGATTCACAAGTGCACCATGCATCAATTGTTCATTAGCTAGCTACGGCTCGTGTTGCACTTTGTTCAGATGGCGGCCGGAGTTCTTGCATGCGTGCATGTAAAATACATTCATAAGCTTAGCTGATATTATATTTGTAATGTAATTAATTTCTTGTAGTCAAGTTTCCACCCGTGAGGAATTCAAGAGCAATGCACATTGTCTTTAGAATTTCATAGGTTTGTGGTTTTTATGGAGCTAACTAATTCGAATTTTCAGTGGTGTATTTTCATACTGTGCATCGACCAAAATTTTTATATAAATATTTTTAGTATGATCGTCACACTGATATGTAATATCAACAATTAGTTTATACAATAGCTTTTGACACGCCCCTTCAAGTTCTGGATAGAAGTTCGTGTCGGTGGCTTACGAGGACTTCACGGTGGTTCTGACAAACATTCACTAGTGTAGGGTTTCTTTTATGATCTGTATAATTAGTAATCAAACTTCTGAACTGCATTATGATACCTACGCTCTGGTTATGTGTGTCCTTTACTCTAAACATTTTCACTCGCACTGATATGTTAGTCTAGTGTAATTAGTTAGCAAGTTTTTATTTATCTGTATTTTCATATCACGTTCACTTCTGCATAGCGCACATGGCTACGTCACCTTCACGTGACAGCCATCATGCCTCGATTGGGGAAAATTTGGTATCAGAGCCAATCTCTGACTGGATGTGTGTCGACGAGGACGTCGGGCCCCTAAGGGGGGTAGATTGTAACATCCCACATCGTCCAAGGGAGTGGATCATGTAAGCCTTATATGTATATTCCCATCTCTACCTAGCACGAGGCCTTTTGGGAGCTCACTGGCTTTGGATTTCATCGGAACTCCGGAGTTAAGGGAGTTCGTGCGAGAGCAATCCCAAGATGGGTAATCCACTGGGAAGTTCTCATGTGAGTTCCTAGAAACAAAACCGTGAGGGTGTGGTAGGGGCCCAAAGCAGATAATATCATGCTACGATGGAGTCGGGCCCGGAATGTGGTGAGGACCGGAGCCGGAATGTGATAGCTTTTGTATTTATTTTTTAATACACACACACACACACACCATATTTAAGATTATAAATACAATGTTATTGTACACTCATATTATAACACTTAAATTGACAACGTCGGGGACACACTCATGCTGAAAATTTATATACGTCTCTTATAAACCCACAAAAGCAGTGATTTGGTCTTTGAAGATGGCCAACCGCACGGATACTGATAAACCAAAAAAGAAATAAATGCATGCAAAAACCATGGATGATAAAACATAGTATGCTACCCCTCCATCTTACACTGCCAACAAAACTATCTAGCTAACAAAGACGTGAAGAATGACCAATCAATGGAAAAGATTAACGTTCGATAAAATCTGTAATTGTGGGAATTTATTGGAATGGACAACTAAAACGTAAACAACATGTTGAAATGACTTCAACTAATATCAAGATTTTTTGTGATAAAATTTCACACCTGATGGATTGTGCATGTGGTAATTACCAAGTTGGAGACAATATCGGTGTTGTTGGAAGTGTGCCTTCGGCCCATCTCTATCATAATTCTATATGGTATCAGAGCTAGAGTGTGGGCGTGTACTGCCACGTGATGGGTGGGTCCTCTTGGCCCCGCACGATGATGGTGGGTTCCTTAGCCCTGCATGTAAGGTGAGTTCCCTTGGCTCCACGTGATTGTTGATGTGTGGATCTTCCATGTGTGACCCACTAATTAGGTCCCACATGAGGGGGCGTGTTGAAATATCCCACATCGACCATATCTCTGTGAAAAGAAAGTTTAAATATCCTAACCTCACTTCAACTAATACCGAGGTTTTTTGTGAAAATACCCCGCATTAATGGATTATACAGGTGATAATTATCAAGTTAGGAACAATATCGATATTATTGGAAGTAAGCCTTCGACGCTTCTCTTTGAGAATATTCTACACAACACACTATGCCACCACCTTACCTTCCCACCAAAATGTTTGTGATTGTGAAGTTTACTTTGTTAAAGTACACAAAACAATTCCTATCGAAATATTGACAAAATAGATTATTTACAATATGTGATGAATAGTTGTACAATAAGGGGAGAAAGCAATTATGTCAATGCAATTACCATAGTTATGTCAATGCAGCATGCATGGTGCGAGTTCGACCCCATTCTCCCTTACAATTACAATTTAACCCACTAACAGCCCAAATAAACGAGACTATATTTTCCACCAAAAGAAAAACGAGACCGTATAAGCTCAATTTTATACAAGGCGTTTATGTATTCCTTCATAGGCCAATCCTATAAGACCAAGTACATGTATAAAGAAATGAAATAGAAATTTGGCACCAACTTAGTTAGGTGCTAGGGCTAACTAATCAACAACATAGGCAAGTGTTGAATTGTTCTAAAGGATCTTCAACCCAGTATTCCTTGTTTAAATCCTCCTCCTTCCCTTAATGTAGTTTAGAATTATAGTATCGCTTGTAATAAGAAAAAAACTAATCAATCACAGTAAGATTAGCATTAGATTGTTACATTTCTTGTAAATGGAAAGTACCCCTTTTGACGCTAACTATGATGGGATGGTGGTTGTGATACATAGAGAAAAAACTAATAAAGTCTTTCCAAATTCCAAAGGTTTACAATTTAGAGTTTAAAGTTTAAGGTTTAGGGCTGATCAGTTCTTCCCGGTTGATTGCGGAAATACAACTAGAGCTCCTTGCAATACCCCCATTACTCTTTCGAACACTCTCATCTCTAGGACTCATGGATTTTGCCCTAATTCTTGAACTCTTTTGGAAAATCTCTCTGATGGCCTCAGCTTGGTACAGAACGGGGTATGCCCTACCAAGCCTACTGAACTTTTCACAAGAACTCATATGCTCATTCACAGCCGCTTCTTGTTTGCCTCCATTCTTGTCCATCTCTTCCTTCACAGCCTCAGCACACAACCCACAAATTAACTTCCCCGAAAACTGGCTTCGCACACGATCTATGTACTCGTTCGTGCACTCCTCGGACAGGCCACAGCACTCACACTTGGCATCCTCAACCTCAGATACGGTTGGAAGATGAATGTCATCGTCAATGGCTTCTTTGCTGCTGATGCTGCTGCTTAGTTCAGCTGAGATGTCAGATATGGTTCTTTGGAGACTTCCCATTGAGAGTCTTGGTGGCTTGTGGACAATGTTGGCCTTAGAGTATGAACCCATCTGGTTTTCTCTGTTTGGTGGCACGAGGGTGGACTTGTTGAAAATCTATGTACTTTGAAATTTTGGGTTTGAAGATTTATGGACTTGTAGGTTCTACTTGTAATTTATATTGTTTTCTGTTTTTTCTGTAGATGTATGCCAGAAAGTGTATCGGAACTATGAGTACATGTGAAAGAGAGACAGAGAAAGAGAGAAAAGGCTCCTGAATAAGCAAGATTTTTCATGAAGTGTTGAAAGATAATAGGTCTTTTCTGCTTTTTCTCATATGGAAGGATTCTACTTTTATTGTTTTGGTTTAAATGCACTAATGCAGTATTATGCAGTTCGTTTAGAAACATTTGTGTGGTGGTTTCTTATTGTTAACTACTTTGAAATTATAGTACTACTGGAAGCCTGGACATCATCAACTCTTTTTTTCTTTATTTCTAAAATTAATAAATTGTTCTGTAGGTGAACTGTCATTTTAGTCCCTAAATTATCATATGACTAAAAATTAGGTAATTAAATTATTTCTTTTTCAAAAAAATCAGTCATTGAATTATAAAAATCTGCCAAATTACATCCCTAATATTATATTCGAAGCTACTATATTCAATTTTCTATCAATTCAAGTCACGTTACTTGCATGTAATACACATTAAAGGGTAGATTGGTAATTTTTCATACAGAAATAGTGTATGTGGTTAATTTTAGATATTATATTAGACGTTAGATTCACAACATATATAAAATGCTAAGGGCTTATAGGCAAGAAAATGACCTATTACACTCTAAAATGTGTCAAGTGACTAAAGTTGATGAAAAATTGGATAAAATAGCTTTGAATATAATAGTAGGGATGAAATTAGCAATTTTTAATGAATTTAAAGACTTATTTTACTGAAAAAATAATTCAGGAGCCTAATAAAATAATAATTCAGGGATCTAATTTTGACTGAGATGATAGTTTAGGGGCTAAATCAGTACTTCACTCTTATTCTGCTGAGGCATTATTAATTTTCTTTATTTCAAACTAGAAAAAAAAAACAAAAAAAAAAAAAGGGAATTCAAAAACTAGGGTTTGATCTGAAGAGCTTTTAACTTCACGAGAAAAGGAAAAAAAAAAGGAAAAAAAAAGCCAACCATGCATGTGAAAAGTAGAGAGATTATAAGAAAATTGTGGTCATATCAGATCCTCACGTGTATTCGAAGGCACTGTGAAGAAGAAAAGCACTTGTTGATCGAGCTGTCAGTATTTCTTTTGTTGGGGAGACAGAAAACAACGGTAGGAGTTTTACTTAAAAGGAAAAGCAGGAAGGTGGATCACTTTTAATAATTTTGTGAAGCGACTTCTTGTTCAAGTTTGTGAAGGCAACACAAGAACTTCATTAATTAATGAAAATTACACCACAAAAGGGGGGAGTGAACCCTGTTTGTTTGATGAATATTGAAAGCGCAAGTTAGCTTATTTCTTATATTGTATAAGAGAAGAAGACTTGGATTGCACGACAACTCATTGAAGAAGATCAGATCTCGTGGATTTTGTATGGTAAGATTCATATGCATTCATTTAGGAGTTTACAATTGAGTAATTGAGTTATATTATGATTGTAAAAATCTTTATTCTTTAGTGGATTATTCAACTGACAATGTGTCGGTGGATTTTTCTCATTATATGAGGGGTTTTACCACATAAAAAATATCGTTTATCTTTCTCTTTACCATCATATTTTTTTGTTGTTCTTCACTGTTGCATAGTAGGATTGAAATAGATATTTAATCCCATCTTGTGTGGATTTTAATTGGGATTGTTTATTTGTTAGGTTTGAGTTCCTCAATCCATCTGCGTTTTCAAATATTAATAATTTGTAATTATAAAAGGCAAGACCTTCTTCTTTTTTAATTCGCGGGAAGAGAGATTTCTTCCAACATTCGGGAAATTTTGGACCAAGGTAAAACACAACGAGACGAGCTTGGGCTTTTTGGGCCAATTACGAAAGATATTCAACAATTGGAAGAACCAAACTTCACTGGGCCAATCGGTATAGGCTAGCTCAACTTTGAGAAGGCCTTCATAGCCTGATTGTGACATTCATTTGTGGCTGAGGCCCTTATCACCCAGCCCAGCAATAAAAACAATCATTAGAAATAAAAATTATTAATCTCACCGTTATTAAAAGCGTGTTATCCACGTACCTATTTTTATTTCTCATACACTTTTCTTAATCTTTTATGGATATAATAAGTTGAAGAAGATGGGAAAATATTAACAAGAGTGTATGAGAGGTAAAAAAATAGGTGTTTAAATAGCATTTTCCTATAAAAAGAAAGAGGAATGGCCGTACGATGTGCGATAAACAGACATGATTTGAGAAACCCTAGGAACCTCACAAAGAGGATCTGGAGAGAATCCTCATTCCTATAAAAATGCATAAATTAATTTGTTATCTTTTAATTAGGGGAACTTGGCAGTGCTTTTTAGTGGTTAAAAGTGTTAACGTTTTCGGATAATAAAGAGTGTTTTTCCTTGACAGTGCTTTTAGAAATGCTTGAATTTTTTTAGGTGGAGTGGGTGAGTTTAGCCTCATAATGAGTTAGCAATAATGTGATTCAAATTCGTCTTTGACGAGAATCAAATCTAAGGCATCTCACTTACAAGTGAAAAGGAATACCACTAGACCATATTTTAAAATAAAAATTGTAATTTTAATTAAATATTACTTCTCACACATCTCTTGATAATTTATGTCCTTTGATTTTTTTAATTCATCCGAACCGACGATCAAAAATTAAAAAGATGTGTGAGAAGTAAAAAGATGTGTGTGGATATTATACCCCAATAAAAATTGTAACCTTATGGTTTAGGGCAAATGCTTTAACGTGACGTCATTATGAGGCTTATCATCCCATACAACGAATCTCTCACCATGTTTTAATCACAAGATTTCAATCAATAATAAAAGCAAAATACTTATGCAAGATTATGGGGTTGTCCTATTTGACATGGGTTTCATGCCATTTTGAAAAATGAAGTTTTTTCAAATTATACCATTTATGCAATATTCTCTATTATACCAAATGAAAAAGACCACATGCCTTTTTCACGTAATTTTTTCGTTTAACTGTGGTGTATGAGCTTTTACGCGTCTGTGCTAAGGTGTAATATTTTTGTTTTATCGTTACTCAGTACTACGGTCTAGTGATATTCTTCTTCATTGTAAGTGAGATGTTTTAGGTTCAAATCTTATAGATGGCAAATTCGATACCAAATTAAGTTGTCCATTGTGTGGCTTATAGCTACTTAGCCGAACTCTCCCTCCCCTTAGTGTAAAATATATTGTTGTACTGAAGAAAAAAATCGTTTGTTTTATCAACCCATTTTAGGGTTACCGCCTCTTTCTATATTGTGCATATTCTCTCTGTAATTATGCTAGAAAACTCTATTATCTCAAAATAAATTGGGCACATCATTTAATCAAAATCAGGAATCGTCTAGGTTTTGCAATTTTTCCCGGGTTACATCCATAGCTATTCCATATGAATAGACAAGAACTGACTTTCAGAGCTTTCATTTTGGATAATGATAGGAATATTAAATTTTTTAACTAAATTTACAAGTTAAATGATGATTCACCAATAATAAATAAGTACGTTAATCAACAATTGAATAATAATTCAATTATTTTCAACTACATCATTTACTTTATAAAATTTAATCTTTCTAATATTATCCGTTTGTTTTAAGCTTTTATGAACCCCAATAACTGATAAACACTTTTTCCAAAGAGCAGAGTTAATTTCCAACTTCCAAAAGAAAGTAGCGCCTAATCCCGCATTATTACTTCAGACAAAAATATTATCACGCAACCTAAAAGCAAGACCAATCAATTAACATGTTATTTTTTTCTTGCACTTTTTTCTTTCCTCTCTATAAAAGTGTCGCTATTGAAAACTACATGCACCAAAAACATCATCTTCATAGACTTTTGAGGGTAAAGAAGCCAAAAATTCCTGTGTCCTTTTATGGCCTTGAAAACTTGCTTTCATAGCGATGCCTACGGTCAGAAGCATAAGAGCCAACGGCCAGTTTTAATTTGGTGAGCTAACCATAATCCGAACTCGATATCCCATCCTTCATCATCGGTTACCGGTTGAACTATTCTCAAGGGCTAAACATAATTATTATTATGATCAGTGAGAACCCCTTTTTTTTTTCTTTTTCTTTTTTGTGTGTATGTGTGTAAAACGATAGATTTTGTTAGATTAGCCACCAACGGGGTTTGAACCCACTTCGTCATGCAATAGCTTAACATCTTTCAACTACTATGGTAAAAGACCACTTGCATAACCTGTTGATTCGATTTAGAGACAACGATATGGTTATACTAGTTATCAATTTAGAAACTTCTTATTTACTTTGAATAATTAAGTTTTATATTTGAAAATGAATTATTCAGCACCAAATAACATAGTGAGCATCACCGCATCATTATATATCAATGTAAAGGGAATTGTTATTTGCATTCCAAAATTTTCAACCTGCACTCCAAACTTTTTGTATTTAGAAAGAATAATACGTGTAAAATGTGATTTTTAGAATGTTAATAACAATTTCTCATAAAATTATGAACTGAATCTATTAATCAATTAATCGTCCAAGACAAATAATAACGTGGTGAGCCATCAATATTATCCCTTGAGTTTAGGATTATCTTCCCCCCTTAATATTTATGATAATTAATTTTGACTAGTGAGGTTTTAAAAATACAATTACCTGATAAGACTTCTACAAAAATTATCTCTCTTCCTCTATTTGTCCAAGTGCGGACTCGTCTCCTTATTTCTTTACTTTTTCTTTTTGTTATTTCTTCTTCCTCCTGTTCCAGTTCACGTAAAAATCAAAACAAGTTCCATCACGGCAAGCTAGGCTTGTGGTGTGGTGAAGTCTCCTTATTTCTTTACTTTTTCTTTTTGTTGGTGTTTTGTTGTTTAACGAGAATGGAGCTTGATTTGATTAATTTCTTCAAATTGCGTGTTTTATTCTTAACCTATCATATAGGTAGATGATCATTGAAATTATGTCCAAGCCGCTCCTAATCAGACTATGAATTATCTACCTATATCATAGAGATTTTGTATTTTTTGAAATCAATTTATATAACAGGTTAATTGTGTTATCTATTTATATGACATATTATTTTCGATATTCGACCTATATCGATAATAACTATATTCTTATATCACAGGTTAATGTGTCTTTCTTGTAGGTATATCTTGTTTTTGTACCTTTTAATTTGGTTTGCAAGTGTGGGTATGTATTTGTTCCTTTACTAATTAGGTTGTAGTTTATGTTTGTATATTGTTTTCTGTGGGAAGATACATATCGTAGTAGATTGAAACTAATTCAATTTTAAATATTCAAAATTCAAATACTACCAAACAATAATAGTAGAAGATTTTAACTTAGGAACTTTAATGAAAAGCTTCTGGTACTGTTCATTTTAACGAAAAACCACATTTTTACACTAAAAAGTCAATCATAGTACTATTCACTTTACTCTTTATTTTGTCCTTATCGTTAAAATTCAAAGTTTTTAAACCTTTTTAATTAATTTTCCTTTTAATTTATCTCTAATAAAAAGTGTAAAAAGAGTATAATAAAAGAATCAGTGGACAAAAAAGTAAAACTGGATTGAATCTTATAGCAAGTTGAATTTTAAAACCCGATTTAAATATTTTTTTTATTATATCTATAAATAAAGAAAGAAGGTAAAAAGGGTGAAGCTTTCATAATATTCAAATTGCTCCCCTTCCACCTTTTTATTCACTCGTAGGATTCAAACGGTTCAGAAGGGTCTCTCTTCTCGAGATTTCATATATAGAAAGCTATCTCTCGAGCATTAGGTTAAAAAAAATCACAACAAAACCATGTAGGGTGGGTAGTTTGTTCATTATTTTTCAACATATATTTAATTAAACAAACAAAAGTAAAATAAAATGATTGGACCGACTTGGTCGTTTTTCAAGCTTTTACAAAATCGTTCTGAATTTTCCAATGGTGTACGCATGCATGGGAGATGGTGTTGACAAATAAACACAGATATCAAGTCAAGGGATTTGATATCAAATAATCAAAATCCCGATTTTATTAATAATTAGCCGTGTTTAGCTGTGGAACGAAACAGGCAAGCTTTCTTTCTTTTTATTTATTTATTTTCTTGGTAAGAAACAGATTAGCCTCAAGACTCGGTCTCGTTCAGATTTATAAGTAAACTACGCGTCGTGTATTTTTGTAGGAAGCGTGTACGGATCTGAGCGACGAGAATCCAGAGGTTTTCTGACCTGGAAATATATGTTGGATGCATGCTTACGTGGAATACTTGAGGCTTTGTATGCGAGTGAAGATTTTCGCCGAATCTTTTAATCACATCTGTTTATTGTTTATCATGCAATTGGTTTTTGTTAGATACTGTTTATATTTAATTTTAAATAAAAAAAATTTACAATGATTTCTGATCATACGATTACAATAACGATAAACGAATGTAATTAGAGGATCCCAAAGATCTCACAAAAATAATTCGACTAGGATCCTCCTGGTTTGTATACGTCTTGTAAAATAATTCTTCTCTCTTTGGCTGGCAATTTTGAACAAGGGACTTGGCTGGCTCAATTTGGCAGCTTAATCCTTGACGGCTAAAGATGGAATTAATCTATGTTAATTAACTGTAAATCAGATTTAATTCAATCTTATTTAACTGCCGTTGATTTGCTGTAAATTGGATGTGGTTCATTTGAGTTTTGAGTTTTTGGAAAATACAGTGAGAATCAAGTATGTGTCATAACACATAAAATTTCGGTGGTGACAATCGTAAATTACTAATTTAAGACACAATCGTAAATTGATACATTTATAAGAGATAAAAATGGTAATGTGATTTGTGTACGTAATTATCAAAATAAACCAAGTCATAATATCCCTAATCCTATTGTCCTTATTATTAGTTGGTTAAGAAAATACCCCTTTGGCATAGTCACTCGATGTGCTACTCTTTTGGGACTGCTTTTAACCAAAAATATTTTTTGACAACCAAAAGTGCTTATTGACTTCATTTAACCAAAAAAACTTAAAAAATATTTTTAAGTTGCAAAAACATTGTCAGAACTTAAAATAAAAACTTCAACGTATTTTTGTTGTTTTTTTCTCTTCTCTAACCCGCATGTCATCATACCGTATCTCTAATTTAATAAAATAAAAATTTAAGCCTCACGTTCAGTCTCCCTCTCTCTTTCACGTCTCTCTAAAGGGTAATGTTAGAGAGATCAAATTTTTAAACTAAATTTGCAAAACACATCATGTATCACTAATAGAAAATAAGCACGTTAATCAATACTTAAAGTAATAATTCAATTATTAACGTCCACATTATTTGATTTAGAAATTTAATCACCTAAAATTACTCTTCTCGAAAACCTATTTCTCTTTCATATATATATATATATATATTTTTTTTTTTGTATTTGCTTGCACATAGTTTATGGGCTTCATCGTGTTACGGATTAATAAAAACGCTTGTAAACAAATTTTTTTAATACAAAATCAAGCTCAAACAAGCCGTGCATGATTCGAGCCGAGCTGCTCAGCCAAAACTAACGTAACGTATATAATTGCGCGCACCTTAATCTCGCCAACTGCCTGTCCACATATTAAAAGTTTGACGTAGACCTTTAAAATCCCACCGTCCACAGCCGAAATCACACTCCATCAGCCAACACGATCCCGCCACGTCACCAGGCCACAAAGCAATTAATCCTCCTTGCTTTTCCCGCTTTCTCCCTGCACGACATTAGTTAACAAACCCCAAATCCAAACCGTGAACAACCGGGACCCACTAAAATCAACGCCCAAGATTGACCGCTACTATTTCGGAAACGACAAATTACGTTATAAAATCCCAATGAAACCGGCAAATTTGTTTCCTTCCCCCTTTTCCATTTCGTTACCTTTTTTTCCACCTTCTGCGTTTCTTCTCCCGAATCGTATTCCCGGAGAATCTAATTCCCCTCTCCTCCCTCTCTCGATCTTCACCGTCGATTCCTTGGCCATGTCGACGGCGGAGATGGAGCAGCTGACCTCCGGAGCCAGCAACCGCATAATCCCGATCCTCAAAACCCTAAGAGGCTTCCTCCTCCTCATCCACACCTTCTTCCTCTCCTTCCTCCTCTGCCTCCTACCCCGCCGTCGCCGCAGCGGAATCTCGGAGTCACTGCTCGATGCGCCGTCGTCGAAGAAGCGAAAGTCGGCTTTCAGGAGAGAGGAGGAGGACACCTTCAGGCGCAGAGCATTGGCTGAGGGGTATCAAACCGGCGACGCCCACTGCTGGTACCGCTCTGCCACGTTCTTGTTCTTTGGTGGTCGCAACAACGCCCTCTTCTGCCGCTCATGGTTCCCGGTCTCTGGTATTCCAAGGTAAATTCTTCATCGTCTGAATTTCTGTGTAATTTCATTGGTTTTTTTTTTTTTAATTTAATTTTATAATTTTCTGTATTTCACGTGTTGTTAAATTTTAATATTGTTCTGTATTGTGCAGTAATTTAACCGAAAAATTAGCAAGTAATTTCAGTTTTGGGTTTCTTGCCGTTGCTTCTGTTCTGTATAATCTTCGCAAGTTCTGATTGTCATTAGTATTTATTATTTTTAATTTTCTGAAATTTCAGGGGTATTTTGATCATCATACATGGGCTTAATGAGCACAGGTAAAATTTCAGGAGCATTTTCTTTTGTAATTTGATGGGGTTTTTCTTGAAGTTATGTTGGTTTAATAGAAATTTGGTGCTTTATATTTGTTTGCAGTGGAAGATATGCTGATTTTGCAAGGCAACTAACCTCATGCAACTTTGGGGTGTATGCAATGGACTGGATAGGTAGCTAAATTCTTAAGATTTGTACTCGTTTTGGCGCTTTTGCTTTTATAGTTCAAACCAAACATCACTACGTTTTAAGGTCCACGCGTGGTTTATGCCTAAGAGAGGAAGAGAGGATAATGGAGTCTTATGATACTGAAATTTGAGCTCTTTTGCATTATTTATGTCTGGACCTTGTGAGGACTTGTGGGAATACCTCATTTGCATTATGCTAGGAGTTTGTTGAATGGAAATGTGGACATGACTACTTAATTCGGATGATTTCTTAAGTTGTTGGATTTGCGTTTATGTTAATCTATTGTTCCCTTTGTGGTAGGTCATGGCGGCAGCGATGGATTGCATGGATACGTTCCTTCACTTGACTATGTTGTTGCTGATACTGTAAGTTCAGCAGCATTTTCTCCAATTGATTATAAATCATGAAGTTCCATTCAACTCAGCATTGATAATTGGATATCCCCTCATCTCAAATATTTAGGATTTTTCTGTATAAACATAGCATTTTCGACTACATAGATGGGAGCTTAGTTTCTCTTCTTCATAATATTATGTACTGTATTTTTGGTTCCAAGTGGCTTTACTTTAAATCCTCCTGAAGTTTGACCGTTTTGATCCTACTCTTTCAATAGGGTGCTTTCTTGGAGAAGATTAGGTTAGAGAACCCTGGAGTACCATGCTTCCTCTTTGGTCACTCAACAGGAGGAGCTGTTGTTTTGAAGGTATGCCATCCAAAAATCTACTGACCGTCCAACTCGTTGAGTTTTAAGTTTATCATTAATATTGCTTAACGTTTGTGTAGGCGGCTGCCACCCCTCAAATTGAAGGAATGCTAGAGGGTATTGTACTGACATCACCAGCTTTGCGTGTTAAGCCAGCGCATCCAATTGTTGGGGTATGTTCTTTACTGCATCCCAAACTATGTTTATGTGCTTTTAGGCGATTTTTTCTTCCCTAAGCTTGAAACTGTGTTGAACACATGATCGTCACATGGTTGCTTACATCTTACAAACCTCTCTCTGATGTCCGAATTTAGGCTGTGGCTCCAATTGTTTCTCTGGTCGCTCCCAAGTTCCAGTTTAAAGGTGCAAACAAGAGGGGAATTCCAGTGTCGCGGGATCCAGCACAATTGTTGGCCAAGTACTCTGATCCCCTGGTCTATACAGGTCCAATCAGGGTCCGAACAGGCTATGAGATATTGCGGATCTCCACTCAATTGACACGGAACTTTAAGTTTGTGAATATCCCCTTCTTTGTTCTTCATGGTACTGCTGATAGAGTCACCGATCCGCTAGCCTCCCAGGACCTCTACAATGAGGCAGCATCCGAGTTCAAAGATATAAAGCTCTATGACGGTTTCTTGCATGACCTTCTGTTTGAGCCGGAGCGTGTAGAGATTGCACAGGATATAATTGACTGGATGGATAAGAGATTGAGTGCTGGCAGTCGAAGATGTTAACGGCCTGTAATTCAATTCGCCTACCCCTATTCCGAAAAAAAAAGAAAAGCATCGGAAATTTACATGCGTAGGGAATCATCGTTTTTGAAGCAGTTAGGCCATATATCCTACTATATAATTTTAGCAGTTCAAAGTTATTTACATTTAAGCGGGTTTCTTGTGATCATTCTTCAACGCTGGTGTCGTGTTTCGTTTGGTCCTGCCGCGGTTATGAACTTGGGGATGGAGACCGGAGAGCATCAGAAAAACTCACATTCTGTGGAAGGGTGAGGTGTTTTCGGTGGTCCAATGTAGCCAACTTCCTAGCTACATAGCAAGATTGATTTCTAAATGTGTATAAAGAATATGTTCATATCTTATGGATCAATGTTCAACCACATATTGACTTAACCAATCGCTTCACTTTTGTCATGTACGTATTTTTGTTTTGAGAGGCAATAGGAATGGTGCTAGTATTAATCGTTCATACTCACGAGTCAGGATGGGTCGTCGTGTATTTGGTGACCATGCTAGCATAACTTAAAACGATAATGATTGATGCCACAAAACCAAAACCACGTGAATTTTTTTAATGTGATCGGAACATGGATACACAACGTATTTTTGTACAAATGGTTGGAAATTTTATTTTTTAAGTTATTAACTTTTTAACATATATATTTTATCATTTATATAATGATACGCCGTGTTTTGTTCGCTCTGAAAAATCTCTCCAAAACCACCATGATGTGTATGTGATTCTTATTGGGTCAATTTATAATGTTAGCGTTAAGCAAAGTTTTCGCATCACATCGCATAATGTAAACCTTTTATTTTTCCGGATGATATTTGGAAATCAGTCCACACAAAATTTGTGGTGAATGCTCCAAACAAATTAGCTAGAAACTCCTTCCTTTTGACATAAAACCACTGATTTTTCATAGGGCTTTTAATCATAAGCCCCAAAAAAGCAAAGATAATTTGTGGGTAATTCTCACACGAGGGTATTTATTACTGAACGAAGAGAAAGATGGAACTTAAGAAGTCGGGTGCACGGCTAAACGCGAAGAGAAATTCATTACAAATACATAAACATGCTAATACCATAAGCACACAAAAATATCAATTAGTAGTAGATGGAGGAGCATGCTCCATGATCGTCTTTCCTATCAGTTGAAGAGAAGAATCAAGATTCGAAAGAAAATCATCCAACCCCCACCCTTCGATCGGATCGCAAACAACCGACCACTCAATCTTGCACCCATCTCCGCCGTCCATCGCAACTACTTGCATTGTTGCAACGTACGACTTAAACCCGAGATTGCTCTCCGTGATCTCGTAGCTCAAGCACCGTTGGATCGGATCAATGGTCAACAACTTCTCTTTAGTCCACTTGATGCTGGACTCATCATTATCAACAGGCCGCACTCGCGCAGTACCGGATCACACCCGGCTGGCCAGGGACGCCCTCCACTTGGAGGCACGTGGCAAGCATTGGGAACCACTTGTGTAAGTTGCAGAAATCGGCCAGGGCCGTCCAGGCTTGCTCCGCTACCGTGAGTTTCAGCTCGGCGGAGGTTTTGCCTTGCCATTTGGACTGCTTCTGATCGTCTTCTTCCTCCATGAGAAATAGAAAGAGAGAGAGAGAGAGAGAGAGAGAGATTAGAAAAGGAGAGTGAAAATTTGTGCGTTTTATTTAGTCCATATATTTGTGTGTGCTGACTGCTGTTTGAGTGGAAAGGTGAGTCACGCAAGATTCTTCGTTTCCTCGTCAATTATTTTACTTGGTGGATGCTTAATTGGTGGCCAACTGGAGGAACGAGGATCCTCTTGGTCTTGGGGTCCTTTTTGTAAGGATCTTAGAATCCTTAAATCGTATTTATTTATCGTATAAATACAATCAGAAATTATTTTAAATACTTGTATCTAAAATTAAATATGAATAATATTTGATAAAAACTGACAAAGAGAATTCGAAGAGGATCCTCATGGCAACTGGAGAGCTAATTTTGTCTTACTTGTTAATTTGTTGACTACTCACGAAAGATTCATCAACTATCATATATGGCAACACAATTAATTTAAGGAAAAATTTTGACATTAAAATAGAGATGCTAAAGTGATTGTGTTCTGAATTAATCATGCGACGTAATGGAAGAATTAATATTAGATGGAGTTGGGTTAGGAGTTTGGGATGCTACATCGACCTCTGAAGCACTGTAGGTAAGTTTAGGGGGTGGAATTATTTGTCATTCTACAATATCATACCATTACTACACTATACCATATCGATTTTGTGCCATTTTTTTTTTATACCAAGCGGTGATGGTACGGTAATTGTATCGAACTGAAGATATTTGTTATGGTATTTGTATCCAAAACCAGATAGTATTAATGTACCGCCTTTCCTCGACTCAATCACTAGAGCAAATATCACCCATATTTGCTCCTAGCTACTGGTGTTGCCCATTGCCTTGCCCTATACTCAAATCATATTGATCTTGGTTCGAAGATCTTCCCGACATTTATTTGATTTTCTCTTAGACTATTGCTCCCCTGTAATTTTCTCTGTGTCGCTTCTGTATTGAGGTTCTTCTACAATGTTTCATCTGCTTTATTAGTGATGTGGTTTTTCAATGAAGTGATGCTCAATGGAGGAATTTTGAGGATCGCATCCTCCTCCTTATGATCATTCTCAGAATCCTTGTGAAAGTAGGGAGAGAGCTCATCAAATCGTACATCTCTAGACACTGCCAGTTTCCCAGTGTGTGGGTTGTAACATTTGTACCTTTTTAAGGACTAGAATATCCATATTTGACAGCCTTAGGTTCCAATCTATCACGATGAGCAGCTTAAATGTGTGCATAGAAAGTGCATCCAAAGATCCTGAGATGAGACAAGTCCATGGTTCTCCCTTTCGTAAGGTGATTTGACATTTAACACACGAGTAGGCAACCTACAGGTAGTAGTGATAAGTGCTTAGCACCAGAACCTCTGGGGTACATTCATTTCGAACATTAGGGACCTTGTTTTCTCCAGCGAGTCCTTATTTTTTTTTTTCTCTTGGCTACACCATTTTGTTGTGGCGTACCAACACAACTAGTTTAGGTGCAAAATGTCATGAGTGCTCAAATAGTTGGACATGTTATTGGTTGTGTACTTAGTGCCATTGTGTGACCTTAGTGTTATTTTAGATGAAAATTGATTGGTAACAATCCTTGAAAACATCAAACAATTCACTCTTAAATTTCAAGAGATACAACCAAGTGACTTTATAATAGTCATCCACAAATGTGACATAATACTTGTATCCATCAAATGATTACACACGAGAGTGACCCATATATATAAGTGAACAACCTTAAATAACTTACTGGTTCTAGACTTAATTAGACGATACAAAAAGAAGTTCGGTGGTTTTTGACAATTAACAATTCTCACATTCATATGAGTTTTTACAAAAGTTTGGAAACAAAGTGGACACTGGTTCTGAGGGATGGCAAGGCGTTGGTGCCAAAGTAGGTATTCCTGAGCAAGACTTAAGTTGGCAATGGGATCCTTGACAAGGTTGACATTCGTTGAGAGATATTATAGTCCATTTAAAAAGAACCATTCACCAATCTTATAATTATTTATTCTAATCTTGTAAAATTTCATCAAATTCAGGACTCAACTGAACCCAATCTTGACTAGGAGTTTGTAGAAGACTTGGTGTTTCTTTTTCTCGGCTCAACAAATACCATAGCTGCTGGAGCTTCACTAGGTTAGCGTTTCAATATAGTAATATTTATTATCACATGCATTAGTGTTCTAACCATGCAATCTTAAAGGACAACATGTACCAGTTACTTATGAGAAACATGGCTTATGCAACATTTAGTTATAAGGATTTTCTCACTCGACCATCAAAGATTCTTCCTCATGTGTTCGCTAGGGTAAATGAAATTCGTTTGGCTCAAGAACAAATTTGTATTTTGTAATTTCTGTTGGTGGCACGTGAACAAATTGAAATTGATATTGGGTTACCAAAACCACCTCATATTTTGTATTTCTATCAGGTATATTTGGTACTTGATCGGTGGCGCGTGGGCAGGTAGTTCACATTTAACAGTAAAAAAATTCTGAATAATTATTCATAACAAAATACTCTTAATTAATCACCTGATAACTAAAAATATATAATTAATTATTTTTGAAGTTGTATAAGAATGAAAATAAATAAATGTGTTTTTAATATACCTCATACTCTGAAAATATCAACCATGTTATCCAAATTTAAAACATATCAAACTGTTTCTTTTTTTTTTTTTTCACACTGTTAGAGTGGTGCATGTAATTTTAAAAAGTGTAAGTTTCTTTGTAACTAGATTACACCCTATGTGTGTTGTTTGAGTAAATATTTCTAACTAAAATGTGTAAGGAATTCGGGCTTCTTTAAAAAACACTTTTGTTCATAAGTGTTTTTTTAAAGTGTTTTCATTAAAAGCACATTAAAACTTTTAATAAAAATGTAAGTGCTTTCTCAAAAAGCATCAGAAGCACTTTTACAATTTGAAGAAACTCTTATAATTATTTTAAAAGCATTTCCAATTATACAATACATATGGGTGTTTTGATTGACCAGCATATAGAAAAACTGAGTCAACAATAATATTTGATAGGAAAATAATGCAACGATATCAAAGAATATGGTTGTAGAATGGTGAAGTCTGTAGAATTATCAGAGAGACGGGTCGAAGGCCCACTTTCATCAACTCCGATATTATCTCCAACTTGATAATTACCACATGCACAATCCTTCATGTGTGGGGTTTTATCACAAAATGTTTTGTAATAGTTCAAATGGGGTTAGGATATTTAAACTATTACACTACTAATTTGATGACGGCTAGTTTCAGAAACATCATAACTATTTATTCTATATGAAGTCATTATTTTCAGTGTTCTAAAAATCGGCCTAAGTGAAGACCCGTCGCGATTTAGGGCAAATCGTTTTAAAAAATCGATCTAGAGCTAGGCGGATTTGATTTTTTTTTATTAGTTGTGTGCTTTTTTATTTTTTAGTTTCATGGTGGTATACTTATGGAAATGGTGTACCTAATTTGCAAAGGATGGATTGACTACAAGTTCATCCAATTGTGAAATGAATTGGAGAACTTTTGAGGAGATACATACAAAAAAAAGAAGAAATAAACTAGATAAAACAACGTTAAATAGTTTAGTCGACATCCAATCCAATGCAAGGATCATGAACAAGAAGAATTTAGTGTATCATCCAAGAATACTCCTCATTATGATTATATGCTTACTGTTTTTTAAATATTGAACGTGTTGAATGGATGTAATTTGTGTATTCTTCTACTTCTATTTTTGCATTTTATCATTCTTTTATTATCCATACAAGTATAGTTTTTTTTTAAGTGTAAATAGGCATTTATTTACAAGATATATAATAAATTTACATAAATCCGCTTAGGCGTTAGGCCTCTGTCCACCGCTGGACTAGCTGCGAGCGTTTTTTAAAACCTTAATTATTTGACATATTACATATTACATAAACATGAAAAGACTGATAAAAAAAAACATGAATATATATATATATATATATATATTTAAGTAGATAGAAGAGCATGCTCCATTGTTTTTGCAACCAATTGAAGATTAGACTCAAGAAACTCCTGAAGATTTTCAGATCTCCATCCATCGACCGGTTCACAAACAACAGACCAATCGATCTTGCACCCGTAAGCACCATCCTGATCAATGTCGTTCGTAGGCACTACTTGCATGGTAGCAACGTAAGAGTGAAACCCCATGTTATTCTCAATGATCTCATAGCTTATGCACCGTTTGATTGGATCAATCATCAGTAGCTTCTCCTTGACCCACTTGACGGTCGACTCATCAGCGGGATTGGTAGGAGGAGTTTCACAGTACCGGATCAGACCCTGTTGGCCGGAAACTCCCTCGACTTGGTAACATGTGGCTAGTTTGGGGAAGATTTTGTGTAAGTTGCAGAAATCAGCCAAGAGAGGCCAAACTTTTTCGGCTGCTGAGGCTTTGAGCACAGCGGTTGTCTTGCGCTCCCATTTTCTGGACTCTGCGGGTTCTTGCATGATGAGAGAGATAGCTAGGAAACATGAATGATTGGTTATAAGGGAACATTATTTGTGACACGATGTATTTATAAGGTTCAAAAAGATGCTTCACTCATAACTAATAAATTTACATGTTAGGTGAAATGGAAGTTGACTTATGTGCCAAAAAAAAAAAAACAAAAAATGGAAAGTTGACTTGCACTGTACGAAAAAAAATATTAAATTTGACTCGGTAAAAAAAAAAAAAATATATATATATATATATACACACACACACACACACAACTATCTATATACAATTTTAAGTGTAGTGGAAATAAAATTAATCACGAACTCGCCATTTATAAAATTTGAGTTTACAATTTTTTCATTTACAAGTAAGAAAGAATAATATTAGATTAGCGGTAAAAGAAACAAAGTTATATTAGACAAAATAAGACACAGAGCCGAACTTTCATTCTTTAACTTGTTAATCATTGTAATCTTGTTTTCTTCTTTTTGTTGGGTACTAGTCTTTTGACTTTGCTTCAATTTTGTTATTACAAGTGCACATCTAGCAAAGTCCTTTGGTTGTTGAATCTTGGAGGTCGACGCGCAATAGATCTTTTTGCACCGTGGTACTTGGGAGAGAGCGCAACATCGGCTTTAAGGACAGTGATTCTCCACCCCTCAACCAAAGCCGTATCTCTATCATTTTGGTGACTTCTTTCTTATTTATTGTATTTGTTGTACTTTATATATTCACAGAGATTATTTATTGTAATTTTCCAGCAATGTTATTATACAAAGTTTAATCTAAACAATTTTTCTTCTCTCAAAATCTCTTAATCTGAATTCTGAAGCTAATTAAATTTTGGCAATTAGTTACAATAAACATATTTGTTATTTCGTTGCAAAAATGATCAGTCGTTATTATATTATTGTTGTATTGTGGTTATATCATCGTTATGTCGTCAATATATGATCAATATGTTGTTGTTACTGAACATGATCATTTCTGCAAAGGGTAATGCTAGGGAGGCTAAATTTTGAAAACTAAGGGACATGGAAGTTGATGATTGATTTATTACTTAAGCGTAGATAAACGTGCTTATTCTGATTAATGAGACATCATTTAGTTTGCTAATTTAGTCTCCAAATTCAGTCTCCCTAGCATTACTCTTTCTGCAAATCAAATGTATCTATTTCCCCTTAATTTTTTTTTTAAAAAGAATTGTTTGAGTCTCTAATACCAGCACTTCCAACCATGATTTCCTAAAATGTCACTAAATTTACTCTCTTCTTTTACCTATTGTTGGACAATTGTACTTATCCTATTATACCCATGTTGATTAAGTATATAATAGGCTTATGGGGAGGTTTGTGCAACTATCAAAAATATAAACATATTAAAGTGCATTGGTAAACACATGATATTGTCAATTAAGTCTCTTCTCTTACTTTTCTTTTTTTAATATAAAGAAAAGTTTTTTATATCATTGGTGAACATATTAAAGTGCATTGCTTAAAAAAATGTAAGGCTTATGGGGTGGTAAGTCTTCTCTTACTTTCTTTATTTTGCAAGTTTTCCCATTCCTTCCTTTGCAATTAAGTGGAGGCCTCCCCAGCATCAATATCAATTGTAGGTTAGCGGTTTACTTTGTCAATGTGGAATATATATACTTGCAACTACATGATCAACACGTTAGAGGCTAGAAATGTAAGCATAGCTAGACTGCGTTACAATTGCATGGAAACTTTTAAGATTTTCTCGGTAAAACAGATGGAGGTTTCATTGCATAGAAACTTTTAAGACGTTTTAACCTAATGATTTAGAAATCGTGTCAAAATTTGTGTTAAAGAGGTGGTGTCACAGATCAACCCCTATGTTTTATATATGGGTTAGTATCTAGGGACACTTTTTTTTTTTTAACAAACGATATTATCTACATTAAATGGGTGGGGGAGTGGACTAAACCTCATAATAAGTTAGCAATAATGTGTTTTAAATTCACCTTTAGCAATAATGTGGTTATATATGTTAGAGGTTATATAATGTTAGTCTTCTACATCCCTCCTTAATATAACCCAAACAAGGTGTTTAAAAATGTGGTATGCTATCCACACACCATTTTTACTTCTCACACTCCTTTGAATATTAGAACTTCCAAAACCCCTTTTAGGCTATTCCAATCCCAAGTCCTCTTTTTAATCCCTCATCGAAATAGACTCTTAGTTGTTTTTGTAATTTTTCGGCAGGTGAAACTTAAAATGAACTATAAATATGTGTATATATTGGGACGGATCTATAACACTATTTATGTATAATCACAAATTACATAAACTGTGATGCAACTCACATGTGTTGGCTAAGATCTGCTGCCAATCAAACCTATTTGTGCAGACTTACAGGGTCTCTGCATGAATCAGCATTACTTGCATCGGTTTTGACATATTTGGCTCATATGACTCAAATTTTAATCTCGTTCATGTGGTAATAATTGCTCAGTTTGTTAGTCGTTTCAGTTACCTCACAACGAATCCGAATCTTCACCGGATTCTTTTTGTGAGGATTTTAGGGATTCATGAATCGTATCCGTTCATCATACGTCATAAAGAGAATCCGGAGAGAATCCTGTTGGCCTCACAACTTGTGATTTTATCATTTTTTTAATGAAAGAATCACTAACAACTATGTGATTTTGCCCTTTCCTGTTTGCAAGGGTAAAAGACCATATTTTAAATAACTTGTTATCAAACTTGGCTGGAGATTTGTCTGATAACATGTAATAGATTGATGTGGAATACTCTTTTTTTATTTGACCGGATGTAGATTTGTCAATATAAATGTGTCATATCCTTTCCACTTATCCGTTTCACCTTGAATATTGTATTCGTTTTCAAAATAAGAATTATAATTATTAAGAAACCAAAACAGAAAACAACTGTACCAGTATTATATTACTCGATCTAAATTTCTACAAGCAGTCAAGCACGTGCTATGTTCAAGCAGTCAAGCCCGTGCTATGTTCAAGCAATCAAACATAAGCAGCACCGTGGTTAGTGATTTAACTTAACTAATTAATTATTTTTTTCACTTTTTACCTGGTCGAATGGTGAAGTCACATTCATGGTAGATGTGTTCAAACATGATGATGATGATGTACTCAAGGACGGAGCTAAAAACTTTGTATGACGGGGTCTATCTTAACCCCAAGACTTGAAAAAAAAAAAAAAAAAAAGAAATCCATGATAGTAGAATTTCTTTTATAATTTCATTGCTTTTCTTTTCTTCTTAAATTTCTTTAAGCCAACATGCAGACATTATTTCCCAATAATAGCTTATTATATATACATATTATTTGAATATTTCAACTAATCAGTTAAAGTACTAAAATATGATAAATTCAAGTACATATTTATTTGAATATTTCAACTCATCAGTTAAAATACTTAAATATGATAAATTCAAGTTCTGTAGCCATCTTGATTGTTTCCCTCTACATAAAACATTAGTGAGGGCAGTTGCCTCCAATGGGCCTTAGCTACCTCCATCCTTGAATGTACTCCTTTTATTCTTTGCCTATATAAGGGCATGTTTATATGGAGAAATGGAATTGAAAGGAATAAGTATGATTTTATTCTTATATTTATTAAAAATCAAACATTTGAATGGACTTGATTATGATTCATTGGTTTTAGGGTTACTTTTAGGTCAAGGTGGACTAGGGTTTTGAGAACGTCCTCTTGTTTCTCTTGGTTTAATTTTGTACCAAGTCCCAGAATATGTCAAAAGAGTTAGCTCGTCTTATAAAATATCTCGGTTAGATCAATGACTCGAAGATTAGCATGATTAAGCAAATAATGGCTTGCTCAAGTAAGGTATGGTGTGGAAGCTAGAAGGTCATCCATTTAGCATGAGAGAGAGAGAGAGAGAGAGAGAGAGAGAGAGTTTGCATGGTTGCGTGGAGTTTTGGGTTGGGTAATCCGGGCTTCTTGTGTTCTAAAGAGGTTTTCCTTAACTGAAAGGGTTGAAAGAAGTCTAGGGGAGAACTGTAAGGCTGTGGGAAGATGGTTCTGTGTTCCTCCCTCTAACATGTGAACCTCTGTCTTTTTTGGCTGAGTTATTGGGATCCCTCTTATTGGCTTCTAATATCTCTTTTTGTAGGTGAAAGATTCCCCTCTAGATTTCCTAAGGAATCTCTAATTGTGAGTTGATCTTCCCTCCTCTTTCTCCCTTGTTCTTCTGCCATTTCCCTTTTGGTGTAAGGCAGTTAAGCTCTGTTGATCTCGTGAAACCTACAGTGGACATTCTTCTCGAGGTGCGGCTTTCCTGGGTCAGCCTTCCACAGACGTTACTTCCTATAACGTGTCTTTTGGCTTTCAGGCTTTGATATTCAGCGTGACTTAGGAAAGGAAATTTAACCTCTTCCTTCATTACATGCCTTTTTATTGGGCTTTCAAGTGACTCTAGGGTCAAGTCTTGGTTTCTTCCTAACTAAGTTGGTTACCTTACTAAGAAAAGAAGGAAATTAGGCTGGTTCTCTCTCAAACTTGCCCATGTAGACTACAAAGGTTATGGGCTTGGATCTTTGGGCTCCCAAGCAACCCAAAGTCTTCCATAATCTTGACTCCACATACGTCCGACAAACTTCCATAACCATCCACACCACAATTCACTTGACAAGCCCCGGACATGTAACTTAGGCTTACTTTAGCATGAATAGTGATTAGCGTGATAAGGTATTGCATGATAAATATGCATGGATTTGCATGATTGTGGTGTGATTTACACAAATGCATGGCTTAATTAATGTAGCATGGCATGATTACTGATATAACCCCTTCTCGATTCCACATCTTGGCATGTATTTTGGGCTTGGCTTGAGCCTTGTATGACAATTGGGCCTTGAGACTTGATTTGACTTGCATGTGACACTTTTGAGCCTCAACAGTTGATTTAGTAACAATAAGGAATGAAAAAAAAAAAAATTGTATTTGGGTATCTTATACTTGAATAGTCAAGTATGAGATTATCATGGAGAGTTGTTTACTTCATCTCATAAACATACGCTAAATCGTAGACACTAATTCAACAAAAAGTAATGGAAACATTATGTAGTACAATAAGATATGTCTAACTTGCATGAAAACCAATTCAATGTTCACCCAAAAGAAGATAGAAGGGCATTCTCCATATTCTTTGTCATCAATCCCATAGAAGTGTTAAAAAAAAAAAAAAAAAAAAAAAAAAAAAAAAAGCTCGAAGATCATCATATTTCCATCCCTCAACTGGGTCACTAACAAACGACCACTCGATCCTGCACCCCGTGCTGCCATCTTCACCGTTGACAGGGACTAATTGCATTACTGCAACGTAAGACTTGAACCCGAGAC